TTTCTCTCTCCAGGTTTAGCTGTTTTTTTCTCCAGGTTTAGCTGTTTTTTTCTCCAGGTTTAGCTGTTTCTCTCTCCAGGTTTAGCCGTTTCTCTCTCCAGGTTTAGCCGTCTCTCTCTCTGTCTGGACTGCCAGCAGACTGGCAGCACGGAGGTCCGGTTCTGGTCCACTTGTAGGAGCAGGTTTTCTCCTCCCTCCTGTGGGATTCTCAGACTGACGTGGATTTTATTTGAGCTTCCTTCCCGAACAGATCCTGTCAGCTGGGTTTACCTCAGGTCACCAGTCAGCACAGACCCGGTCCTGGACTGACACGGATCAGTTTCTGCTGTTGTAGATCCTCACATTAAAGATCTAACAGGTTCTGACCATGGAGCCAGTCAGCTCTGAGGACAGTGCTTGAATGTTTGTGAAGCCTCTAGAGTTTTCTATATTTCTGCATCAATATGACCCAAAACATCATCAGATTTTCACACAAGTCCTAAAAGTAGATAAAGAGAACCCAGTTCAACAAACGAGACAAAATATTATACTGGGTCATTTAATTGTTGAGGAAAATGATCCAATATTACATATTTGAAAGGTAAATTAGAGTCAGGTGTTTTCAATCAGTGGATGGTGATCAGGTGTGAGTGAACACCCGGTTTGATTTAAAGAACAGGATCTATCAACGTCTGGGACAAAGGAGATTTCTGAGGAGCTCAGGGAAAGAGTTGTTGATGCTCATCAGGCTGGAGAAGGTTACAAAACATCTGTAAAGTGTTTGCTTCTCTAAAATAGTTTTATACTATTAGTGCTTAGTATATTCTTAGTTCATGTTTCGGATCTTACTATTGTTTTTCTTTACAATTTGTGTTTTTGTTGGATGTAACTGGCACCCTGCGTACACAGTTTCGTTCCACCTCGTGTACCACATGTGATGTGAATGACAATAAAGAACCTTGAATACTTGAATCCTAAAACACACAAATGTTTATTTCTCATGTTAATAACATTCATAAAGTCTCTGCAGTCGTGAAAATCATTTGGAAAAGAAACTAAAACTCTCTTCGTGTTTTGAAGGTCCAGCTGGTGAACAGGGACGGGTTCTGTCCAACTGGGTTCTTTGATCATTTTCCTCTCATCTCGACAGCTGAGATGATTTGTTTGAGTTTGATTGATGAGTTTGTTTTAGCTTATTTTTAGCTTATTTTAGCTTGGATCTTTGCAGCCATCAACCTGCAGACGGTGCTCATAAATGAAAAGCTTTGTCAGCAATTTAATGTAACAGCTGGATTGACTGCTCTACATCATTTGTTTTAGCTTGTTGTTGATTGTTTAGCTTGTTGTTGATTGTTGTTTGCTGTAAATTGTTGTGGAGCTCAGAACACCGTCCCATCAGTTAGCCTAGCCTGCAGTTGGAGCTTCGTCCTTCGCCCTCTGTGCTCTTTGACTGACGTCACGACTGATAAAATACTAACTGGTGATAAACGTCACTTCAGAAATGACCAGACTATCCCTTTAAATGAGAGGCATGTTTTCTTTAAAACGGATCCTCTTTGAGGTTCATTTCAATGATTGTACGAGAGGAGAGGGTGTCAGAAATACTTTATAAATATCCTTGTGATGGCGGTCATAAAGAAGCAGGAAAGTGGGCGTGTCTTCGCCTCAGCTTCTTCAGACTGAGTCTCTGATGGAGGAGGACATAAAGACCGAGTCTCTGATGGAGGAGGACATAAAGACCGAGTCTCTGATGGAGGAGGACATAAAGACCGAGTCTCTGATGGAGGAGGACATAAAAACCGAGTCTCTGATGGACGAGGACATAAAGACAAGAGAAAAACAGAGCAGCGATGCACAGCACAGGACACGAGCGCAGCTGCAGGGTTATCTGACGAGGTGCGTTCAGAACGGGTGCTCCGATACAAATATCGTGAGCCGGATGATGGAGCTGCCTCTGAAGTTGATGACGTTGTTGACCGTGACCATCTCCAGGTCCAGCACCACCTGTTTAGGCCCTTTGATGGGCCGAGCCAGGACCAGAGTCGCGCTCACATTACTGGTTTGCTGTAAGATAAGAAGAACAGAGATGGAGAGAGGACTGTGAGGAATGTGGAGCAGGAAACTGTCGAGTCGTACACAAAAACTGGACTTTCTGATCACCACCTGCCTGAAGGAGAAGAAGGTTGATGATGTTTGTGTCTGTCTATGAACTGGACACATTTTAATGAAACATTCAGGAAGTAAACACCAGAAACACAACTGGTAACTCTTTAGAACTGATCCAATTCAAGATGGCTGCTATAACCAACTGACCTTAGAACACAAATATGGCTACAGTCAGTCAGTTTGACAGGTTTGCTAAAATGTGATGTGGTTGCAGCTGAGCATCATTCACAGCACAAACATCAAGTGTTACTCGTTCTGCAAGATATTTGCTGAAAAGTTTCATTTAAGCTGATGGAGTTCAAGATGGCCACCGAAGCTAATCATTATTTGCCAGGTTAAACGTCACTTTAAACTCTCTCTGGTTCTGGCACCAAGCCCGGGTAAATGGTGAGGGTTGTGTTAGGAAGGGAATCTGACGTAAAACACTTTTGCCAAAACTATAATGTGAGTTCATCAAAGTGACACCATACCAGATCGGTCGAGGTCCGGGTGAACAACGTCCGGCACCGGTGCTGTTGACAAACAGGGTGACGGCGGAAATTGTGCTTCTGTTAGTGGAAGACCACGAGGAGGAAACGTGTCAGGAGACAGAGGGAGAAGAGGAAAGTGAAGAATGTAGGACTGAAGGTGGCAACTCTAAATGTGGGGACAATGACAGGCAAAGGTAGAGAGCTGTCTGACATGATGCTGAGAAGGAAGGTAGATGTTTTGTATGTCCAAGAGACCAAGTGGAAGTGCAGCAAGGCTCGCAGCATTGGAGCAGGGTTCAAACTGTTTTACCATGGTGTGAATAGAAGGAGAAATGGAGTAGGGGTGTCTTTAGGTGTGGTCAGATCAGTACTTTTTTAATTCGACGAGTTATTGTGAAAGACCATGATTTTTTATTGTTTATTTGGATTATCTCTGGTGGCACAGTGGCACAGTTGGTAGAGCTGCTACCTCTCAACAAGAAGGTCGCCGGATCAAATCAACACGGCTACAGCTACTGGTGGCGCACCAACACGGCTACAGCTAC